AAAATCTGCCCTCATTGCAGCTTTGACTATGTCTCGCAGTGGTTCCTCTACAGTTCAAAACGAGGTAGACATCTATCTAAGTGGTCTCTACCCTTGTCCACCTGAACAAATGACCAATCCCCTTCAGTGGTGGAAGGTGAGTACACTTCTCATATAATTTCTACTGAAAATGTCTCGATGTAGTCTTCACAGCAACATGAGACGACATTTCCTATCCTGTCGCGCATCGCTCGTGATGTCCTCACTATACCCGCTGTCAGTGTTGCCATCGAACACTTGTTTTCCAGTAGCAAACACACCCTTTCTGATTCACGCTCCTCGATGACTGCAGAGACCGCTTCTGCCACTGTCATTACCAAGGAATTGTTGAAGCTTGGCCTTGGTGATGGAATTCAGTACCTCGATGGTGTTTCTATCCATTAAATATGAATAGATACAAATACCTATGAATACGATATGAATAAAATAACACTATCATTAAATATCTCGGGGCGGATTGAGAACATAATATGGTTAGAATAAAATATGCCCTCGAGATTATTTTATTCATATTTGGACAGCACTGCCAACTATACATCTATCAGGACCCTGCTGCATCTCCCCCACACCTGCTACACCCTCTCACTCTAGCGTCATTTGTCATATTTTCCCCATGTTTCACATTTGCACATTTTCATGTTACTTACAATGTGCATTTGTTACCTATATGTAGTTCTGCATCGAATACATTGCCAACTAACTGTGTGTATCAGTATGTTGAGTGTGCCCATGCATGCTTCAAATTCAATGCAAGTAGTATTATCTACTATCTACTGTCTCCATTTTTGATATATTTGGGATATGTCAGATTCATGATGCTTGCAATTGATGGGCCAGGCACTGGAATGTTGCGGTAGCAGGGAATGCATATGGTTCTCAAATGGCTGCCATACAAAAGAAGGCAAATTGGGACTCTGATGTGGCGGCGGCCAACCATCCGACCATGACAGTGTCTGACTCCATGGCGATGATCCAAGGGCGGTGGATAGTAATACAAATTGGATATATACTAGGCTACATTGTTGGGGAAAAGGAAGAGAATTTGTGCAAGATGCTTGTGGCAACTGTCCATTTTTCTGCTCTGTCACATTAGTCAAACTCATTGCGCCATAGACCAATGAGAATAAACTAGACAGGAATATGGGAGTAGGCTAGGATTGTGCTCCAGATGCTTTTGCGGTGTGCGCACAAATATAGAGGGACCGTTACCCATAGTGCTGCGAATGAAACCAGCTGTCAGTGGACAGTGTTCTTTGTGCCAGTCATAGTTGGTTGAGGGCGTTTGTGCTAGATATACCACTGTTCAGCGTTTTTATTGCCAAAATAAGTATAATGGAGATGTATATTTGATCGCGCCTTAAGACCCTTGATCTGGTGAAATGGTTTGAAATCAAACAAAAAGAAGCTGAGCCTGGACAATCAAGTATAATTTGATTTACAAACCAGTATTATGCATGCGACTACTCGGACACCAGAAATTCCAGTGGTGCGGCATCTACCCATCCCTCATGCTGAAGGCTGCCGTTGTTTTTCAGTTTTCTGGGTTCAAGAGCGTCATTGGCACACTGTGGGAGGTTGATGATTGTGTCACAAAACATGTCGTTGAGAATTTCTACAACTAACAAAGGTTGAAAATGCTATGAATTATAGCCTTGCAGACAATTGCTGAGATGAGTGCAGTTGAACAAGAAAGGCCTTCTGCATGACTTCAGCTTCAAAAGTGTCTGGGAACTGCTGATATTATAATGTTGGCTTACCATGATTTCACAGTCATTTATGGTGGTCTTCATGCTCACGGAAAAGCTCCTTCTGCTCCAAATATTATACATCAAGTGGACCAGATCCAGTCTGAAACAGAAATGGTTCTTTCAAATTCTGCCTGTGGTAAAAATAATAAAGCAAGCATAGCATGTCTGATTCAGATCAACCACATAAGATGTTGAAATGGACTATGACTAGCGTGCTAGCTGCAGAACGCCCCCAAAAGCAGAAGTTGTGAATGACCTAGGCAAGATGACATTGAATTTAGGTGAGACTTGACTGATATTGTGGTGCATGACACTGTGCTTGCATAGTGTTGTGCAATTATCAATGTCTATGCCATTGCAGGGGTCTGCAGTTCACTGTGATCTCATGGTACTTCAGCAAACACAAGGCTAATTGGCCCGTGCGGAAGGCATGTGGTTGGAGTCATTTCCATCAGAAAACTATGGGTTCATCCTGGACTTAAACTTGGGTACAAAGAAGAGTGGTCGCTGCAAGCTATTGCTAAATGCTGAGACTAGTGATTGTCCTTCAGTATGTCCAGGTTGTGGAGTCATGGACAGAGGCTTTAGAGTATGACTCAGGCTATTATCAAGTTGATTATTGCGTGGTTTGTGCATGGCCATTCTGTGTTCCTGATGAGGCTCCTAGCCCAGCAACCAATCTATTTTGGTAAGTACTCTTATTTTCTCTATTATGCTCTGTCCTGATTGGACAGGAGGTAAAACAAAAAATGATTCTACAGTGCGTAGGTATGAAGATCTATCAGGGTATGGTACATATTGCCCAAGGAATGGTAGTACAACTTGAAGGAATAAAGGTTCAGATAAAAATATGAATATGGAGGCGGGACGACCTTGCGATTGTATTTGCTCAGTAGTTTTACCAGGGCTGCTTGTCGACATCAGCAGCGCTACCCTCAAGCTCATCCTCCTCATCCTCTACAGGATCAAGTCCTTCTAAGCCATGTTCCAATACGACACATTGATATTGAGTCCACATTGCCTCAGCAATGCGATCATGCATTTCAGTGCCTTGACAAAAGTCACCCTTGTTGTCTTCTTTGATAGCAACAGCCTCCTCATCAGCAGCTATGTCAAGGTCAGGGTCCTCCTCCAAAATTTTGTCTCCATCTCCATTATTGACAGGGGGCATACCCTCACTAGGGTCGTGCACACAAATGTAGCTATGGATTGCACAAAGCGTGGCTGGTATTTGGGTCTGGACCAAACCGTAACGCACTTTGAATTTAATAAGTTGTGCACCGCTACATGCGGTGTGGGAATTTTTAATAATCATGTGATGGATACTGTGGTTCATTCATCGTAAAATTTCAGTGCAAAACTTCTTGAAAATTGGGCCGTAGTGGTTCCTGTTGACAATGATTACTATGAGCTGCACCAAAAGGGCATTGGTAGTGTCTGCCGGGTCGGGCTGCATTCTGATGATAAAAGTAGTGATGATGGTTGAGAGCAGACCAGCCTGATTCGCCCATGAGATTTGCATTGATAAATATAGAAATGAATGCACAAAATTCAGGATAACAGTTATATCACTTTGGGCTCGGTTGACGAGGTCATTATCATACTCATTCGAGATCCTCTTGTATCTCGCCCAGAACTTTGATCTATCATCCTTGCCATGTTCTCCTGCAATAGTAGATTCTTGAAGGACTTTGAGGATGTGCCCCAGCATGTCTGATCTTTGAGAAAAATAAAGTCTGACGTCAAGTGCATGCTGCTGATGAGTTGACATTCACATATCCTTGGCAATATTTTCTTCAATGTACACCACAGGATTCTTTTTCACGTTATTCAGCTTGATTTCATTGTCCAGGGTATATGACCTTTGAGACAACATAATTAGATGCCAAATGTGCCGTGCTTATTGGTTAATGATTACATATTCTCAGTCAGGCCACCACATTCCTCATTCACATTATTCAGCTCAAGTTCATCCTGGATCTCATTCAGGGTGCTTGACCTTTGAGATAATAGAGTCAGATGTCAATATACCATGCGGATTGATTGACATTCACATATTTGCAACAAGGTCAACCTCGATCGCATTCCTGTGTGTGCATGGGTATTATGGACAACTGAGTCTAATTTGCTACTTACTCGTTGGTCAGGAAGTCGACCCTGACAGGTTGGGGACTGGGTCGTGATAATGTGCTTGGCATGCCATCCTCTGGCTCCAACTTCAAGGGTCCCATCTCTGACACAACAGTATGTACTGTCGTGTCATTGTGTCATTCTTTCATTGCCCATCCCCACTCCAACTTCAATGGTCCCATCTCTCCGTGTCGTACTTTGGGAATCAGTCCATCCCTGACAGTACCATTGTGTCGTTCTTTTAATACTTTCCCCCACCTCCAACTTCAATAAAGTATGTGAACTGACTCTTCGGGGTCACTTGATAAACATTCGCGAATGAGACCTGCTGCAAAATTTTGCAAACTGGGGTGAGGATCAGTAAACAAATTCTTCGCTCAGGTGCGCACATTGCTGCTCCATTTAATGTGGATTTTAACTCTTGGGGGTTGATTCTCCATTCTCTGCCATGCAGGAGGTGCCAGGCTTTCAAGGCTGCCACGAAGTTGGACAACACTGAGCTGGAGTAGGATCCTGCACAGCTCTAGAGGAACTCGAAAAGATGAAGACAGACCATTAGCTCTATGGAGATCAGTCGCTGTGATACACCTGTGCCATCTGGTAATGGATCTGGACCAAGTGCTGCAGTGCCAACACACGTGGACTTAACACTGGCAGTCTGCCATGTGATATACTTCGTTTATAACCATCATCACCATTCTAAACAAAATACCTTTTTGAAAGTTTTCCCACTTATTGCATAGTCTGTGATAGCACCTGAAACTCGGATTACCATGATTTGCATTTGTACTGTTGTGCATGCACTGTGGTCAATCACTCACGGTCTCCTACCCATTGAATACAGGTACGTGTCGTCATTTCAAAACAGAATATAAATATTGAGCTATCTGCAGGAATGGACTGGTATTTTTTTCCAGGCCATGTCATTGAAGGCTCTCGGCCTTCGTGTCCAGCTCGGGCATCCTGTTGGCCAATGCTGCATTCTCCCTAGACACACATTCAACAGTGAGTTCGTGCTAATAGACACAAACGGAATCCATGAAGTCGGATTGGATTTCTGTGGTTGTGAAACTTTGAATTCATATGTTGAAAACTGCAGCCACCTTTCAACTGCTGTGCAACTTCCAACTTTTATCATTTGAGTCAAAGGCATCTGCCTATGAGTTCTATCACTCACTAGTTCGTCTGACAGATAATACAGGTCTTACAAAATGCAAGGTAAGGTGCTTCATCATTTTGTCTACTTGATTACTTGTCTTAACCTTTGACTTTAAGACTGTTACAATGTGTTCTTACAAATGGTTCATGAGTGGCAACATCTTAAGATTGTGAAACACTTCGGTCATGGACATGAAGTGAGCGGCATTGATGGCACATCGCAAGGCGAATGTGTCGTTATCTGTCCAGCTTGTCCCCAGCCTGGTAAGGATTTGCACGATGGCTGGGCACTTGCAACAAAAGCGAACTGGTAAGTATTAGAGATTTCTAAGTACAGATATGGGCTCATGTGATTCAGTTGGTTGTACGCCACCTTTTTGGCCATTGATGTCAACTTTCATTTAAAAAGACACAATGTATTGAGCAATGAGACAGACCCTAGTATGTCTACAGGGTGGTCATATTTTGTGGAGGAGACCGACTACAAGTCCTATCTAGCCCAACATTTGGGAGAAGCACAGGAGGTACACGACCCTGATTTACTTTCTTGCATGCTTCTGACACCGTTTCACAGAAAAGCACATGCTCCAGTCACAATGCTGAAATAACCTCGCATGCAGGGAACCTTGAACAATACTTGTGTCACTCACCATCTGCACCGAGAGCGCTGTCCTCTCTATCCCATTGAGTACCATGTGATGACCGCTTGCTCGAACACGAGTGGGAGTTGCGTGAAGCTCAGGCATATGACACACTTAATGACCTCTGCACTGTGCTCAACCTGTGATACCACCTTTACAAGCCATCATATCACTAATTAGATGCTAATGCAGCGGACACCAAAACATGTTTAATTTCTCTGGTCTAGGACTTACATTTTGCTATGTCTGTTCTAATCTCGTCTAGTCTTGCATGCACAGACTATGCAGCCTTGACTCCAAGTCAGGCCCCAGGCCACTTGGGCTGCACTCAAGCCTCAGGCTGAAATTTGACCATTTCTCACTGGTAGGTTGCAGAAATACTAATAGTAGCGTCATTGCTCACTCTCAGAGTGTCAAATTTTCTCTGACTTTCAAAAGCAGAGTCCAAGTCAGCTGTCATAGTGAATGGCAATGGACTTTCTCTCAGTCAGGCTAGTACTCGGAAAGCCCTCTCGCTTGCCACCCCTGCATGACTTGTGATGAAGCAAGAGCCTTGGATGACCAAGCCAACAGTTTGTGTGCCATCACTACTCAAATAGTTTAGAGATGACATTATGATACCATTTCTAGGTCAGTGTAATGATCTCACAGATTCTGTGCTATGACTCCTCATGGCATGCACCGAGTCGCTGTCTGACAATCAAGTGAGCATCACAGCGCTTTGCCGTCTTGTCTCTTCCTGCAAAAGTTAGGAGAGTTGATTGATAGGGGCACCATTAGCTAAGCATGTTCAGGCACTAATTGTCTGCCATTCTCAATGATATTTACAGTGTGTTCCTGGACCTGTCTAGGGTACAGGTCTACCGAAAAAAATCCTCTGTCCAATGATCGCTACCGGCCTGCTCGGGTTGCTTGTTGGGTCAACAAATTCTCATGCTCCTTGGCTCATTTCCCTCAAGTGGCTGAACAGCATCATCCATTATATCAAGTGTGTATCCATTTTTATTGCACTCGCAAAAAAACTAATAATGAGCGCATAGCTTTCCCCTAATATTCAGCGGAATGTCCATCATACCACCAGCGATGTCGAAGTGGATCACCTGTCTTTCTGAGTGCATCCTTCTCCAGTGGTAGAAACTGTATGATGTACCATCCACAGCCAACGTCAGGGACAAACTCACCATGAACTGCACAGCAAAGGTTCCACAGATTGGAAGGCTTGTGCATCTAAAACAGCTGGCGGAAACGGTGGACTGAGGGAGGTCACCCTCCCTCAGGGCATTTGCGAAGCTGGAGATGTGGTGGGGGACTAGGCAACCGCTAGAGTGACCACAACAATCTGGATTTTGAAAATACACATGTTGATCAAAGTCACTCTGTGAGGAGTACCAAGTGTCGTATCTACAGCCTGAAATCAGTGCCCATGCTGATTTTCACAATGGTAAAGTCCAATACCTTTCGCCAACAAAGACTGACCATGTACTGTGAAATGGTCACTGAAAGTGACGGGTTTCCAATGAATTTCCCTGGCACAGCTGGGTGCTCCAACCATGGCTGCATTCCCACATTTTCACATCCCCAAGTTCGGTCAACAAAGAGCCAAAAGCCACGCGATCCGGAAATGCACGACTCCATGGCGTGAGTTCAGTCACTATTGCATTAATGGCCTATATTGCAATACAGGTTCATCAATGCCCACCTTTTACGACTGAATTCTTTTAATGTAATACTGAAGGTCTGATTCGCTCTAAGCTCTTCCTCAGTGTTTTCACAAACCGACATGACCACAGATTCGGAGACATTCTACCACAGCCTCCTTGATCTCTTCAAGGGGATAACGGGGGAGTATGTTTTAATTGTTTTGATCTCAATTCCATATAGGACCATTACAGAGAATTAATGAGGGTGCACGGCAATGGCAACAGCTGAAGCTGCTCAAATGGAATGTGTTTGCTTATGAGAAAAGAATGCTGAAACCTGGTGAACCCACCCTCTTTTTCCCAGCTTGCCCCCAGCCCAGCATCAATGCACCCCTACCAGGCAATAGGAATGCTGATGATCCCAGTTGGCTATATGCCTGATCCCTGGTCATGGATGGCAACTTCAAAGCAGAGCACCTTCATCCCACTCATCTGGAAGATGAAGTCTGGTTGACAGATGGTCAGTGCTTCATAACCCCACCTCCAAGCGCACTGTCATTTCAGAACGCGCTGACTTTGATGAGAGGCATCTGCTTCTCTCTAAAAGGCCTGCTAGCACACTTTGCCCTCTCCTTCTTTTCCCACTGTCGAGTCTAGGGTGATTCCAGTCTCTGATGACTCATTGAGGGTGCAATATTTGCCAGGGCTGCAGCAGCCTAATGATTCAAGACACCTTAGCTAGAATTAGTCAGAATAATCACAAGCTTCCTACCTACAAAGTATTTAGTCTCGCTCGTGTTAGATGTGTCTAAAGTTCCGAAGTGGAATCTGCAGACATCTCGCAGTGATGAGACCAATGTGGATCTTGTTGTTCACCAGGATAACAAGATCTTGATTTGAGTTAGAGAAGTCATGTTTATCACCTGCATATTCAATACCTCAGAGATAAGCAAGAAGGTGATCTTTGAGTCAGGGGATGAAGTTCTGAAAGAATATCATTAATACATATAGAAGCATGTACACAAAAAATAGACCATTTTAGCAGGATCATTGTCTTCAAGATCGCTCAACCAGCCAGTAAGGTCGTGTGACACCCTGCAGTTGAAGAGAAATGAAAGGAAGCAGAATGCGCTGCAGATCCTGTGAGGCCATTCAGAATGTCTGCCAATGAAAAGCAGAAGGGACTGGCGGCAGCTGACCACAGTGATGATGCTGAGGGCCATGATGAAGAAGACACGTCTGAAGACAAGGATGGGATTACACATAAAGCAGGAAGACTATCCAAAGAAGAGGTATTGAAAGCAGAAGAATTTGGCAAGAGGGTTATGGCCAAAGTAACTGCAATCGGAAAAGAGTTTGGCAAACATCAGGGGTTGATTCTTATTGAGGCAGGACTGGCGACAAAGGCAACTTGTAAGGAGTCGACCTGGAACCTACATCAAGCCTGGTTCCCGACTGTGTTTTTGTGTCTTTTTCTTTGAGGGGATGTGATACTAATATACATGGGATAGATTACAGATACAAGGACTTGGAGGCTGCACAAGCAGAAGGCAAGGGTCTCAGTTTTCTCCTCCCGCCCGCCATAGTCCCCAATGCTCCACTCTTGCATAACAGCAAATCTGCCAGGGATAGAAATCGCATGGTGGCCCCTATAATCATTAGTGAAGCATTTGGTTGGTGTATTACTTGATTCCACTGTTGGTACACTCACATTTCTCAGTAGCTGATGCTGGTCAGCCCTCTAAAACATTGAACAGCAGGTGGATGAGGATGTTTGACATCCTTTACTCTACTTGACTTTGCATCCATGACTGGCCAGCAGGAGTTTCACCCCCTGGCCCTTATTTTGATCTCAAATCACTGTCTGCAAGTCAGTTATGTGCCTTAGTGGGTCCATATCTCAGGAAGCATCTTGGCAATACATATGAGGCTGAGTTGGGCTGAGACGAGGATGAGGACAATGCAGAGAAAGCCACAACAACAAAGCAGAAAGGTAAATCCAAGTCCAATGAGAATCGCAGAACCTGGGGCGCTGTTGTCCAGGAGCCTGACATCATCTTATCCATTCAGGAGTGGACTCCTTGTGGGTTTTCAGGTAGTCTGCACACTACATGTTATATCAATGCTGTTGTAACGGGAAGAAGGACTACAAGGGGAACCAAGGCCAGACCTTTATAGCAGGAGGCTATGACTCTATCTATGCAGGACCAACTACCACACGCTGCAGGACTACCAACTATGAGCCAGGACTCCTGCTCCAGCGCCAGGACCCCTGCCACTCCCGACATGATCTATCCTGCCAGAGCACCCCACTACACCATTGAAACACACTGTGGAGCTTGCTATGAACCAGGAAAGAGCCAGATTGAACGATATTACTCATCACAATAGGCATCAGGGTGGGAGGAGTCGAACGAGAGCCCAGTAAAATGGTGGTGCATAGAACTGGATGCCACTGCAACTCTTGAGGCTACAAGAAGTTTGTCCATTCCACTCATGAGTCAGTATTCAAGGATTCTTGTGGTGGATTTTGTCGTAATCCAGCAAGACATGCCAGCCCTTCAAATTCACGTGTACGTTGGTGTTAGTAATCAATTGCAGCAACTGTGTCATGATTGCCCTCCTTGATCTGCATGATACATTCATCTAATTTCCTAGTCCTGACTCTGAAGATGCTGAGCATGCTCAGAAATTTGTTGAGGCTAGGTCCTGCCCTGAGTGAAGACATGGTATTTTTGCAATTGATGGTTCTGCCATTGCCCAATAACCTCCTCATAGTTTATTATTCACTGGGTAACCCTGGCAGTACACATGATTCTTATGCCTTCAAATCCACTTGTGTTTATCAGGAGCATGACACTCTTCTTCCAGAGGACCATTGGATTTGGGCAGATAGTGCCTACCCACTTGAGAAGTGGTGCATTGCCCCTTTCAATAAGCCACATAATGGGAGGTTGACCAGGGACCAGAAATCCTTCAATATTAACCTCTCTTGAGTATTTCTAATTTTTTCTGCTGATTTTTGCAATTTTCACTGATTTTTTATTTACATAGGTCCATGTTTGTGTTGAACATGTGTTTGCAGCTTTGAAAGGATTATTCCAGTCTCTCAAGGAACTTAGGCACCCACTTGAGAACCAGAAGGATCTTCAGGTCACTCTGCATTGGGTTAGGTGTTGCCTAATCCTTCATAATATGATCATCCACTTTGAGGAGATTTGCAAGAAATCCACACTTGTATAGGCTGTCCAAGAGAGGCACAATACTATATGCCATGAGGATGAAGGACCAGATGGTGATGAAGTAGTGGGTGATAGGTCTTATGAAGGCACTCTAGGTTAAGCTCACAGGGCAAGGCTGATGAATATGTTGTTTGATAGTCCCCATTCAGAAGCACACCATCAGGCAGATTGAGCAAACAAGCAGAGTAACATTGTGTACAACTAAACAAATGTACTACCAAATCTTGATGCCTTTGCAAGTTCACACACAGCCTGGGATAAACCCATCGAAATGTCTCTACAACCTGAGGAGGTGAACCCCTGTGACGATGTTGTGGATGTTGAGGTTGACAATGTTGCCGACTTTGACTTTGACCTTGACCTGGACAATCAGAACATGGGAGCACGTGTGCATATTGGTGTGGAGTCTATAAGGTAGCGGATGAGGAGTTGAGTATGTGGGAAGAGGACGGGTCCGAGGATCTAGTTACAGATAGTTGGTAAAGGAAAATGAGCCGGCATATGCTGGCGAGGATGACAAGAAAATGATAGGGAGGACCCTGTGATGATGTTACTTGTAACACTCAGTAACAGATTATCAATCCATTGACAATGCATGTGCTGAGCTGCGGTGAGGTAGCTGCCTTGATCCGAGCCAGGTGGATGCAGTTGTTGATGCACTGACGAGGGGGGTATCCTTAATTTAGGGATGAGTGTGTCACTGCCACTGTCACACCCAGTGAAGATGAATGATGACCTGACAGTATGTTTAGTTCTCCAGGGACAGGAAAGGTAACAACTCTCACCCAACCTGTTAGATTGCTCTGACTCACACATTCTAGAGTTATATCATCTGAGAAGACTCAGAGGAAGAGGGCCGACAACCTCATGATGGATGGCTCTTCGCCCTCAAAAGCTCCTGCAGAGAAGCAACCATCCAGTTGAGTGCTTGGCATCATCAAGTGCAACTGGAGAACATACATTTTCTCATGTTTACAGATTAACATGTCTGCATCTTTCTGAGCTGCAAAAGTTCAGGCTGCAAAAACTACCAACAAGGATTTCCCTCATTCCCACAGTCTGTAAGACCTGGTTTCTATGTTATGGGAAAGTGGTCTCTGAGACCACCTTCTCCAAAGAGTCTCCCTCCCTATTCCTCCAGAGGTTTTAGAAGATCTCTTGGACCCTCACTGTGAAGACCTCCATCCTCACATGGCTGCATCTTCGTCATCTGCTGTACACTCTGTGCATGAACTTTTCCTCCTGCTCTTCTTGTTATCACAAATTACCTTGTGCTGGAGCTCATGAGTAAGATCTTGTAGTGGATGTGATGGTGCTCGGGTCTGCTCTGGAGTGACCATGAGAGTGAGGTTTCACAGCATAACACAGGGCGCTCAGTGCTCAAATCTCAGAGCTGAGCACTGAGCCGTCATGGTGATTGATCATTAACATTGTACACACTGTACGGAATTTGCCACTTGGGTGTGGCCTGCACCACTCAGAAACATGTGAGTAACACTCGGAAGGAACCGGTATCGGACACTAGACTTCACCATTTCATATGACTTGCTTGCCTGTTTCGCAGTATTCTCCCTTGTTCACTCAGGTTTCTTTATCATGGCCTGCAACCATCTTGTCCTTACTCAACTTACCATCCCATGGAGTGGTAGTTTATCAGTGCCTTCATTTAGCACCACCTCCAGAAAACCTTAGTGCGCAAGTCGTTCGAACACAACAATTCTACACAGTTGCCATCTCCCACTTCATCTCACCTTCCTGGACCGACAACTAAGCTATAACTCGTACACCAATCACTCATTTGTCATGGCGCAAAAGCATGACTGGGGCTGTGCGCTTGATGATGCTTCCAAGGTTAGACTGACTGACCCATATTTGCTTGCATAACGAAAGCTGATTTAGATCATGACACAGTCCCTTAGTATTACCCTCGCTAACAGGCTATATCTCTAAGGGCATTGCCCTTGGCAGGAAAAAGCAGGTCTGGGACACGATCAGAGCATTTGATCTTGCGTCTATGTTCACAAACAGAGATTTGAATGCCAATCATCTCCTTCTCTTGATCAAGGTAGGTTTAATGATTCTTACATACTCCATGCTCCATTGTTGTTTTCATGCTGTCACACTGTTTAATACAGATCAACATAATGAGGCACTTCTGCACGTCCAAGAGCTGGCCAACGCGTTGAACATGTGGCTACTTTGGAATGCAGATCACCATTACTGGTACAGCTGCATAGCTGATATGCCACAGCACTCAGAACATCATACCAAACTACAAGGGTGTGTTAGTCACGGTAGTATCAACTTGAACTTGTGGTAAACTCGACTTACCCATCTGGAGGTGCAATGTGCTGATCCCCTAGATGAGAGTTCCAAGGAGCTCAACAATGTAAGGCTTGCTGTGAATGCCAACAGTCCCTTGGCATGCAATGGTTGTAATGCTCCGCATCTGCCAGTGAAGACCCATGAAGACTTGGAAGCGTCACCTCATCACCCTAGCCAAGTGGTTATCCCAACGGAATCAACATCTGTTTCTATTGGAGTGCAACAGGTTTGAAACCTGTTGAATGTCGCATTTTTTCCATAAGAACATGCCTTGAATATCTGCTCATAGACAGTATCTCAGACATAGATCTTCATTAGCCTTTGTCAAGTTATCATCAGAGTCAAAATCTGTTTCTCTTGTACTTTGCAGATTTCAAACCTGCCAATGGTAATATTTTTATTCTATGCAATTACACCCTAACATTTCCTGATGCAAGTACAAAAATATGAAAGCTCAGAATCCAGTGAATTCATGCACTTATGATACAGTGGTCTTCATCCATGCCATTGCCCACCAAGTTACATATATTTACATACTCTCTTCACAAGCACTTTGGCTCTGCCTTGCGGAAGCATGTTTAGTGAGGCATATGCACCTGTTTCTGGTTTTTGTAACTTAGCTTCCTACAGTGCACTACCACTGTATCATTCCAAGCACTCCCATAGCACATTTTGACTCATATTTCATTTGGTGCATCTGACATTTCAGCCCACACTCACTAGCACAAGCACTTTCTTTTGTGCATCAGTCTGTGCACCTTTGGCTCCATCAATTGTCCTCTGTCTGTCTATTCCATATATGTTTTGGTTTGTCAGTGCACATTTCTATTCTATTTCTGTGTATTCTTACAGCAGGCTTGAAACCTATATAATCATTCTTTGCCAAGTGGTTGTCACAACAGAATTAAAGTCTGTTTCTCCTGGACTGTGCATGTTCAAAACCTGCTGAATGATCCATGTTTTGTCTGTGCCTGCTGCCTCTCTTCATGGTCAGCTGGTCCTTCTGCAAGGTCACCTCAAGACTCGCCTGGATCATGGTCAATGAAATCTTCATCAGCAAAGTCTTCTATTCTATTTTTGTCAGATTGTGAATGCGAATAAAATTATGGATGGTGCAAAGGGCTAGGGGTAGTGTTGCCGCAGCTGCAGCTTGGCTTAATAAGCCACAGCTTATCCTATAAACGGCTAGCCGAACTGGTAGAACCATGGCTAAGCGCCGGCTCGGTTCCAAAGTGGCTTGCAAGTGGCTATTTACAGGTTCGGCAGGAAGCAGCATGACCCGAGTATTAGGGAAGCCAAATCTGAGTAGTAAAATGACAGAAATAAGCAAACAAATTCTGTCATGACAGACACAGAGAGTGGAAAGGGAGCTCTTGAGTCTTGAATGCATACAAAAGATAAGGACTCTACAGAAGTTGACGAAGGTAGGGATAATCTGGTTTCTCGCTGAACTGAAGACCGCGAGCATAAGTGAGCATGGTGGTGAATCCTGAGGGAAGTCCAGAACAGAGTGTTTTGGGAGAGGTCTGGATTTTCGACTGCAAAATACAACTTGAACTGTTGCAGGGGTACACATCTTCTGAATCGAGTGGAGCCCAAGGGAGATCACCACATATCAAATACACAAGAACATAAGCAAGTGACTCGATATCATCGCACCGACTCTGCTCCACACCTCGATGAGCATTGATGGATGCGAATTGTAGATTTCCAACAAAGTGTTGGTCGTTTTTGAATTGTATGTGACGATGATTCGAGTCACGGAACAGTCGTGCAACGCTGAAGTCGATGATATAAAGCTTGATGCTCTCAACCTCATCTATTTCTCTGCCAAGAACGATATTGGAGGGTTTAATATCACAATGGATGTAACCATGCAAGTGAATATATTCAATGCACGAAATCTATTATATTTTCAAGTTAGCTGTGGATACCAAATACTATAGACCAGTAAAGTTGCCTATGCACCAGCTGCTTTGCAAATGAAATTACCGTCTGTAAGTCCAATCTTTTGTTGCAGGCATTGAAATACATCTCGAGTGAGGGACCAAGGCATTCCATTATAATTACGTGATGTCCAGAGTCTGATCTGAACCAGTGAATATGCGGAATACTGTTTCCACCAGCAAGAGCCAAGTACGTGGCATACTCCTGCTCTAGTATTCTTGGTTTCGAACATTCTAGCTTTGCTATGACCTTCTGGCCAGTAAAAATATCCTTGGCGATGAACACATGACCTATAACACTTGAATCAAATTATATTACCCGTACAACAAGCAGGACTCACTATGTGATCCAGACCTGATTTCTGCACCCAGCCTGAACCTCCCATCAATCTGAAAAGGCTCTAATCCTGCTCCCTTGGCTACAATGTTGGGCTTTGAGAAAGATAGAGGTGTGTTTGGAGCTTTCATCCCTAATAGTACAGTAGTTGACGAGAAAGAGTGTACACTGACAGTACACAACATGCAGTAACAATGCAATAGAATCATGTGTTCATCATAGTGTGATCACTGTAGGCTTGTAACAAGGCCAGAATAAACTTAGTTCGAACTTCAAAACATGAGTAGGTACTAGGTAGCACTGCAGTAGTACTAGTAGGTACAACATAGATCATCAATAATGGATCCAGCACAGTCCAGTCTGAAATAAATAGTAGATTGTCAGATATAACGAGATACCTAATCAACACTCATCCTCGGGGTCGCTGCCTTCAGACAACTCAATGACATTCTGATCGAGAGCATCGTCTTCGTCATCCTTTGCCAAGAGATGGAAAAGATTGTCCAACTTCTTGATGCTATCTTTTCCCTGTGCTTCCATGAGTACAGAGAGCAAGTCCATGTCAGTGTCAGCTTCCTCAAATGCTCGCTCGTCAAGTACTAATCCCTCTGTAAAATTAAGGCGAGACTTCTTGTAGAAAAACTTCAGCATTTGAAGAGCCTCCATAAGTGCAGGGTTGATGCGGTTGCGCTTGTTTGTGTCGGTCTCTCCACTGGAAGAGAATATGCGTTCAGACAGAACTGCAGAAGCCTGTATAGGAAGGTAATCCATGGCAATCGAGAAAAGAATCGGAAATGTGAACTCGTTCATCTATAAGAGATACGTATAAATTAATACCATAAGATAAATAGCCCTCCAAGTGACAACATACCAGCCAAAATTGCAATATATCAGTGCCGATTGGTAATGTCGTTCCATTGAAATATATGTCAAATTCCTGATTGACGGTTTTGTCCTCTCCACCATGAAGATTACATACAAGCATGTCATCCTCAAGTCCATATTCTTCCCCGATGGTCTCAAACAATGACAAAGGCTTGCAGGCCCTTGCAATGACCTTGACAGGTGACTTTGCACGACATTCCTGTCCCCTGGAGCGGGGCGTGATATCATGCATCTGCAGGGCGTTAGAAACAATGCCAGGTCAGATGTGCTCGAAATACCTTTGATTTGATTACTTGTATTGCTTTGTCAGATCCCTCATGTGACCAATGTTTCTTGATCCAACTCATCCAATATGCTGGGTTAAGAACTAATGAAATGCATTAATTATAAGAGTAAGGAAGACAAAGTAAAAATCACATACCCATTGCTATGATATACGTGTCTGATTGCATACGATCATAATACTTCTGAGCCCATTGTAACCCAATGTCCAAGAATGGCTTCAGACGGGGTTGGCTATTCTGAAGAGACTTCCACTTCGCAATGAATTGTTCGAAGATGATGATAGTGCCGCATAAGACTGGCAATCGTTCTGACGGCATGGACTGAAGTGCGATATGAGGAACCTGGATGTAAAATAGTATTGCGCATCACTATTAACCATTCAGTTCATTTGATAGAGCTTACCATCAGCATAACTTCACAATCACGAAGTACAAGCCACTCTGTTGTCGAGAGTTTGTGCCTTCATAACTCCTTGTTATTAGGGCGCTCAAGAAAGTAATTGATAGGCTAATAATGGGTTGAGTTGATGATAACAAAAACATTCCAACACATTACCTGCTGTAGATATCGGAGGTGTCGTACCATAAAGTAAACGGAGTCCCAATGTGTTCTCGAATCCTGAAGCAACTGCAGAACAGAAAGTTCACATGACTCCGTCCATCCCTCCTTTGTTGTGTATGTCCACCATGACTGCTCATTGCCTTCCATGGTGATAGCCTCGAAGGCATCTCTGCGCATACCAGATGCACGAAGCACTTGGACAATATTGCAACCAAGTGCGATAGGATCATGTTTGAGGGCTTACTCATAAGTGTGTGACTCGGAAAGGTTCTGGGGAAGCGTAGTGATCCAATCATCATCTTCGGGCAGATCCAAGTTCGTAAGACTCTTGATGACATGGCCAACACAGAGGTTAAGGATGTGAGGGAAACAATGAATTCTGCAGGAGAGAGCATCAAAAGAGATGTCACATTCTTCTAGCAAGATCTCAAGATTGGTCATCATGGTATCATTGTTATTGGCGTTATCCATGGTGAAGTGCCCAATCTGGGAGGAAGTCAGCAGGAACGTATAATACATCAAGGATGTATACCCTGGCTGTGATTTCGGCCCTATCAAGCAAGCGGACAATAATATTAGCCAAGTTTTCTCCAGTATGACGCCCCTGCACACGATGGAAAGCGATCAAAGCAGCTTTCAGAACGAGGCGGGACACCTCGCGCGCAATCCAATGTGCAGTCAAACACAGGTATGGGCGTCGATGTTTGTCCAACCACAGATCTGTTGTCACTGAGATCTTGCCTAGTGCAGCCTACATACAATAGATCAGTAGGACTCGGGAGGTTTGGTAGAAGAGACACATACCTTTAGATCATTCTTCAGAACATTGAAATACTTCTTCCATGCTACAATGATAAGTTCTCTTGTCTTTGTTCGCTTGGGGATGTCACATTCTTTCAAGTCCTTGCGCAACAAGAGTAGGAGTTGTCGAAATTTGGCACACTCGACGACGTTAATAGACTACATTGGATGCAATCAACATAATGAAATATTACAAAATGTAGACACTTACTTGATCATCTGCAACTATAAAACGAATGAGACGGGCATGGAATTCTTGATGATTGAAATGATCAATGGATGGGTCCAACTGGGAGGATTCTGTTGTTTGGGCATTGGTACCACTGGTAGTTCCAGCCTGGGTCCTTGTGCGCATAATTTGGTTCTCAAGCTGATGCTTGGCGCAGAACTGAAGGTATGCTTTTGAGTGGAGAGCATCAAGGTGGCCTCTGAGAACGCTGGTCGATGTCCTCGGGCCATAACTGTAGCTCTTCTCAGGTGTCTTCTTTTTCT